GGCGAGATGCCGAATATCACCCTCTACTGCCTTTTGCATTAGATAATTACATGGGAATTAAGGTAGACATCTCGGAATTGAGTAAAACAGTAGCTTTGTGAACCAAGCATTTATCTATCTTTTCAGCACACCACAATGTATGTGTGCCGAACTCTCAAGCCCTTGTCGCACTGAGAAAGGCATACGCACTGTAGTTGTGAGCATTTTTTCAGCATAATAACATTTACTTGTCTCATGCTTTATTTTTTGCACAATTTGAATGGGTATGGATTTTCTCACTAATTTTTTTCACTTTTTTGTTCGCAAATTTGTGATAATCTCTGTTTTTCTTTTGCATCTATGCGACACATTTATAATCCCACTTGACAATTTATTTCGGTACTCTCCGATAATCATCAGGGATGTTTTCTACGCAGCTGCTGACTTCGTTAACAGGTTTCCCTTTTTTAGAGATTTGGGAAAGGTAATCCTTTTTTTATAAACATCATTCAGTAGTCAGTTAATCTTTACCTTTATTTTGCTTCATTGGGATTGGCAGTTGATCTCACCTGGGGAGATTATTGTGCCGATTGAATTTTTCTCTCTTAGAAAAGCGAAGGAGAGAAAACCTCGGCCTCTGACATTCAACTTAGCAAACTGGAACTTCAAACTTGACAAAATGTTTAAATTCAAAGGAAGATATCATTTTTGTCGTTCCTTTGTCCCTTGTTTTGATTGGGGTTTTCTTTGCTTTAACTGCCTTCACACCTACCGTGTATGGATCAAGCTCTCTGTCCAATGAATGCGCCGTACACGACGCCTCCACGACTGTGGGGCTGCGGTAGGAAGGCGGGTCGGGAGAACGATAACATGGAATTTCAAACTATCTAACCTCTACAGTGTAGGCTGTTTTTAAAAAAATACAAAAATGTGCACTCAGAAGGAGCCACTAAGGATAATGGTGAAGTTTGAATTTTTTACATATAACCTTAGTACCAAAAAATAAGTTATGTGACCAATAAAATGTTCTGAAGCTCTCAAATTTCAGGAGCGAAGTGCGCACTATTTTAAACACTTGTAATCGGTGGATGGAATATTTGAAGAACTTGGGAGATAGTAGGTGAGGTATTATTTGTTTACCAACTTTCGGTACTTTATTAGCACATAGCTGTCGATGTCACAAATATGTGACGCGTATTCGCTATTAGTTATGGCAAAAGGTTGCTGCAAAGTGTAATCATAACAGGATGGTTGGCTATAAAGCAGCTGTAGGGGCATCTACGTATTCATCCTTTTTTTCCGTATTTTTAGGCAAATCAAAAATCCCTTCTCTCTCCTCCCCCCCACTTCCTCCATCTACTCACCCCCCCGGGAATAAAAGGTTATGGTGGGATTTAATGTGCATTATCTAAAGTCACGTGCCCTGGCTTTGGTATCAGATGGACCGCGATGCAATTATGGCCTGGAAACACAACAAGACTTGTTTATTTTCTACTTGGGTGGATGCGAGATGGACTTGGATAGCCCATAGGCTGCTAAAATTTATATCCATTACGTGTGTACATTAAAATTCATGTATATTTTATGGTCACCTCAAAGACCTGCTCCCAAGTTCTGACTTCGTCGGGGCTAATTTTGCCCTCCTATCTATCCACTAACTTGGCTCAGCTTAGCTTTGAAGAGGGTAGAAGTAATCCCCGTGCCCCGGTATCCTGTATGTACAATTTGGCCGAGTAATTAACCAACCACGAAGGGATTAGGAGTTAATGTAGGGTGATAGATAGCCTTTGAAGCTGATGAAAAATCCACTTTGAACTCAAGCGCCGAGGTAGGCTGTAATGGTGAAGCCTATTAGGCGAAAATAGAAGCAAGAAAGTCTACCTTTCCCCCCCCCCCCCACCTATGAAAGTGAAGAAATTAACTCTCGTTTGAGATTAAACATTTCAAATTTACAAATAAAATTCGCTGATGTATAAAAAGGACAGATTTGCTTTGAGCGTATAAGATTCGCCCATTTCAAATAGCGGTAAAACATTTGGTCGATTTAAACAAGTCCTGCACTTAAAAACTGCAATTAATTTCAATCGCCCTCCTGGCGTTGCAATGCTGTGGCCATGTCCAGAAACGTAGCCACTAGACGTGTATAACGACCAAGACGTTGTAGCCATGGCCGGAGAGTCGTGTTATCACGGGGGCAGTTAAAAAGAAGCATGAAATCGCCTTTTTTGGCAGTCATCCACCTCGACTTTGCTACACTCAACCGAATCCGAGGATGAATGCCGCCTACTAACGGTTGACAGTGATTTAAGCCTGGTCAGAGTTCCTGAATATCGCGTTCCCAGCATCGAGGCGGAAGAATGGAAGAAGTTCTGCGCCGCAGTTAAGTTTGCCTTAAAGCAATACGGGAAAGAAGAATTTTACATTCTTGTCCTGATAAATTACAATGAACTCTCCTTAGAGGTTAGTTAACACTCACTATGCCATTAGTCATTGTGTTGAACTCGAAGCTGAGGGGACTGGCAAATCTCCACCGTTTTGGGCATCAGCCCTCCGTATCGGTTATATCAAAGAAATCGTAGTGATTCTGCCCTCGGACCCTGTTTGCTGCCTTTTAGCACTATGCCAATATGAGAGAAGTTTTGTCATTGACGGTGACATGATCGAAGAGGTTGTACCATCCACCGGATGTACAGCCTGTGACAACAAAAAAGAACTGGCGCGTGTGTCGACATGAAGGTGAGCCAAACATCAAATCACGACGATATTACATTTAGAACCACAGAAAAGTCTTTAAACGCAAAAAGATACAATTTATTTGATTTCTTGTTCATTATTTTCTTCTCCAGAGATCACTGATGCATGAGGTTGAGTTAATTAAAACAATGCAACAGGGGAGAGGAAAACTTGTGTTGAATTAAAGGGAAAATTTAATCAGTTATTCACATTTTATAACAAGTGAGATTGGTTTTTTAGTGAAAAAAAAGGAGAGCTTTTGAAGTGTGTTAAAGGCGTAGTGCGTCAAGGCCTCGCTTGCGTCCCACGCACTGGCTGAAGGTCCGACGGTCCAGTGGAAAGGCGGGACTGCCAAAACGGAAGTTCAAACTACGGACAAATAAATATTATCTCGAAGCAAAATAACAAATTACTTAACAACTTTAATAACATAAGTTAATTAAAATTCAAGCTACAAGTTCTCAACAAAATTTAACCCCTTCTCTTGCACAAATGTCACCTTCAGACCTCTTTATTTGCGATTTTCGAAGATGAATATGTTGGATTTTTTTCTCGTCTGTGTGTGTTTGTGAAAAAAAGGATTGAATCCAAGGTGACCTTGTTCAAAAGATGAATACAGACTACCTTTGATTTCTTTAACATGCGAACCTTCTTTGGTGGCGTTTCAGTTATTGCATTGTTCAATTGGACCATCGCCGATCAGAACGTTGTGGGCGGCCGTCTGAATTTAACTCCCACATAGAAAAATTATTGTCTACATTATAAGTTTCTTTGCAAAGATTTATTTCAGTGGCCTAAAAGGATGTTTTTGAATTGCCCTCAGATTTGTGGGCTTTAAGATCTTCGGTGGTTGGACTACCCTTGAATAACCTGCCAACTTGGCAATAAAGGGTGCTCCAGAAGAAGGCAAATGCTATGTTATCTTGGGTGACACCACACATGAACCATTTGAAAACGCCCATCATGGAGGCAGATGGCCGAGTGACAAGGAGGAGTGTATATTGAACCTCAGGTCTATGGAGGCCACAAAGTTGTCTAAATATAGCCGTTGGTGTGTCAAATGTGCTCGGTGAGAAGCATCGTCTGACCATGAGCAACACAAGGCCAGTAAGGCGCCTCAATGGTGTTTAAAAATGTGAAAGAAGGTGGCATCCAATGTCACCTCGTCGCAAGGAGCAATCAACAAGGCCTATTTGTCCCCATTTTTTTAATGTTGGTGCCCTCCGACTTCGTGGGTCCATGCACCTAATTTACAGCCTCCCAAGCCATTCTTCCATACCTGTATGCCCGAATACGTGACTTGATTCATTTTTAATTAAGAAAAAAACAGTAGCCTTGACCAAAGCCTTGCTCCCCTAAAATATTAATCAGGTTTTATGTGCATTCTCCAGCATTTACGACGCATTTATGGCTCAAAAAGCATCTAAAATCCAGAAAAAATGTACACATACCTTTTCCAAAATGTTTAAGTACGGAAAAACCCGCCCTTTTGAATTGCTGCTTTCTTAATTTTTTAAACCTTACCTATGCCTCATACCACCAGTCTGGAGGTCAAATCACAGGCGGGTGGGTAGTGGTGGGCTTCACGGCGAGAAGGGCGAAAATCCCCCGCTAATCCCCTATGATACCCCTAACAATTTGACTGAATTCACCCTCCCTCTCCTGACAACGTACACGGGAATAAGGCATTTGAGCTGTAGGCCTTAAGACTGGACGTTGGTCCACGCTGTTAGCACATTCTACATGCCAACCCCTTTCCGTGGGAAGAATTGAACGTAGGCGAAAATCCACTTTGTAGGATGCTAAATATATAGAGAAATTACAAAAGTCCGATCTCCTAACGACCGTATAATTTTCAGGTCTTGTACTAATTACCGGGAACTAACACAATGCACCTTACTATCGGATCCCAGAAAATAAAAATTTATTTTTAAGGCAAAGAAGGCGACTTTTTGTTTAAAAGAGGAACGATGTGAGAATCAACTTTTTTCCACCTTAATTAGCGCGGATATATTTGTTTTATTACCTTTTTGTTTAAATGCATTTATAGAAGAGGAATTAGACGATTCGACAGGAAGTTGTTCCACTTTTGTCTAAAATCCAAATTTAAGCCTTCCTCCAGCTATGAAAGCAATCTAGAATTGGTTTTTTCCCTACCTAATTTACTATGACTTGCGGGACTTCATTAATCTTCTGCAAATAGAATAATTGGGATATACATGCCTTGAGGTGATGTTTTATTTACAACTAATTACGCGGTATGTCGTGCTTTTTTGAGTGATAAACAGGTGGTGCAATGTAAATCTACAGATGAGGCAAGAATTGTAGCCTCTGTGCCACAAGATTAATGGCCGAGTATTTGGTTGTGGACAAAGGCCGTGGCAGAGGGAAAATTTTGAATCACTTTTGGAGTGGAAGGGAATTCCCTCCAGAGCGTTTCGCATTTTCCACAGGACACTTAAAATGTACGCTAAAAAATAAATACTTTTTTTACTGCTGAGAAAAGCGCGCTTTCACACGATTAAGATTGGGGACAAAACAACCCGTTACTGCACTTTCAGTAAAAAAACAGAATAAAGATAAATTTTAATTTGGGGGTGGTTAAAGCAAGAGTAGTTGGTTAGAAAAATAAAAAATAGCAACATGAATAAATTGGTAATTTTGCCATTAAGGAAAGTGGCACACGATCCTTTAAGTTATTTTAATAGTAAAAAATATATAAGCCACATTTATGGGTGTTTAAAAGTATGCGAAAATTTCGCCGTTGTAAGTCTGTTACATATGCAGGGATTTGGCTATTTGCTGTACTTTTACGTGATTTTGTAAAACAGGCTGAGTTGTTTTGCCATTTAAGATTAGGAACGGCATTCTTTTTATGTACTACTCTCCATGGCTAAATGTGACGCTTGTTTGGCGGGTTTTAAACTAAATAATCTCTCGAAAACAAGGTTCGGAAAAAGAAAGCCTCCAAAAAACTAAAAGATGGTTTTGCTGATTGATCTTTGTGGTTGAGTTCCCCAAAAGTGCATGAATATTTGTCTGTAGGTCATGTAACACCGCGGAAATGCCGGAGTTACCTGTAATGTTAAAAAAAATCTAGGAGGTTTGGACTTTCTGGGATTCTTGTTTGTGAGTTGACTTTTCCCCTCTGACGCAGA